ATAGGTACCTTTCTTATTGAAATTTTATCAGAAAATGTACATAAAATACTATAATTTTATGTACATTTATTATTTTATGTGTTATTTGTATTTCCATTCATTTTATTATTAATTTTGATATTTCATTTATGGAAAAATGTCATAACTGAGATTAATATAAAAATAAGATCATATAAATTTCATAAGATGATACTGATACTTGTAGGTACCCTTCTCAGTTGAAATTGAAAAATCAAATTAACTTCTCCACATGTGTTTCAAAAAAAAAGTAAAGGCCTTAACAGTGGAGAACAATGCTTAACTCAAATAACGCAACTTAATTGTATTCTGGTTGGTCTTCCGTACTTTATAATTACAGCCTGATTATAAACATAAAATTACATTTCTTAATTACTGATTAGTCAAAACTATACAATGTGGTAAAAAAAAGATCTATCGTATAAGGACATTTACGAAAGTGGATGCAGCTTTTAATTAATTTTATAATATTTTAACAACTTAAAGGTAAAAATCAATTATAATTAAGAAATAACAAATAATTGTATTAAAAATTCATTTTTCATCAAAAAAATTTTTTGCTTTCAGAAAATATTGTCCATATTCACAAAAACAAATAAAAGCATTTGAAATTAATGATATCTTTGTTTTATTGAGTTTTGTATGTTACAATTCAGAGCTGATTTTCAGGTAGGGTGGTCCAATTAGAAAAAAAAAAGAAAAAACCATGATTTGCATTCCTCAAAGCACAAGGCTTTGAGGAATGCAAATCATGTAAACACTTAACTTTCTATTGAATTTCTAGAGTTTTCATAAAACTAGTTATGGTGGGTGGCAATATAAAAAAAAATATTTCTGCCATGACTTTAATAAAAAAACATATTTATAATAATTTCCATCATCTATGAATAGTTTCTGAAAGTTTCATTATCAGACAATTATGTGTGTCAGACAAAAAAAAAACATGCTAAAAATTGTATATGTTATTTTACTAGTTCCGGTGATACAAAGACAAACAAGGTTTTTTTAATCAAAATTTAGAATGTTCGAAAAAGAAGGAAAAATTTTTAAAAATAATTAAAAAAAACTTTGGTCTTTCCTCTTAATAATAACATAAACATTTAGACGATAAAATTTTGTTTTTGTCAAGTTTGGCGTCTTTTTCATCATGCTATGCTCTTTTTTTAGCGATCTCATGGAGTTACCTAATTTATAATGCTTTGGTCACATGTCAGTATGCTATACGCAAAAATATCACAAGCCATTTGATCAGAAATAAGATTGACAAATTTAGCTCTAAATCAATTTTTTATATTGGATGTTTTGCTGGTATAAATAGAAATACTAAATACTTGTAAAGATAGTTTAAACCAGACATGAGCAACCTTTTTTCGAACAGTGGGCCACATGAGGTACAGTACATCATAACGTGGGCCACACTTATAAAAGAATTATGGTTTTTATTTTTTTAAAGATGCCGCAGCCATTTCCCCAACAAAAGCATCTAATTTAGAAATGGGGAAAAGTATTATTCTTTGGAGAAAATATTTCTTGTACATTTAAAAAAAAAAAAAAAATTAAAGTCTTGGTATATTATAATTTTCACTGATGACATGATTGACACACATTGCTGCATGGGATTTGTTTCTAATTTATTTATTTCAGTAGACAAAAATATTTGTAAAAGAAGAAGAATTATCATTGACGTTTCCTGTTTCTGAAGCAAAAGATGTTTACACCTATGTTCTTTAGTAAAAATCGCTAATGGTTTAAAATGCTGATAACAAAATTTGACAAAATTCAAGAAACATTTAAATGAATCATTGTTTATGTATGTGGCTATCCATGAGAGTGTGTAAGTAAACAGCTGAAACAATTCTGACATTCAAACGTTTTTATTTGAGTTTTTTAGCAAGAGAAAATTTTAGTTTTAATATTTAGTTCATTCAAAATATAGCGTTTGATTGTATGAGAGGAGTTGTTACATCAGCATGCATTTAAAAATAAGTTTGTTTATAGGAAAATAGCAATAGGGAGGTTTAGATCCCAAAATCGTTAAGTCCACTGTCATAATTCCAAGGATCATAAATCGGTCTCACAAGTCTAACATTAGAAAATGTTGAGGGCATAAATCGAAAGGGTCAAAAATCCATACATTTGTTGTCCAAAACAGCATTTTTTATTGGTGTAAAAAAGACTGTAATTGGTTGAAACTGGTAGGTAGGTGCAAACATATTTTGAGGCCTACTAATCTTAACCGGACCTTGATTCTGATTTTCTTTGACAGAAAGCATCAATTTTTTTTTGAGAGAAAACTTTTTCTCCTCAATTGCTACACTCCACCCTGATTTCATGATCACACAGGTGACCACCCAGAAAAACAAGTAAAAATAATCAATCCAAATAAATAAATAAAAACTGTCCCCCACCAAAATAACAGAATAGACTACGGCAAGCAATCTAAACATTGGACAAATAAATAGCTTTAATTATTGTCCCAAACCAAAACAAGCTATTAAAATATAAAATAAGTGACTGAAGCAAATCCCCCTCCAAGTTTTTTACTATGTTAATAAAACATCAAAAACCAAAAAGAATAAATAATACAAAATGAAAATAAAAAACATGTAAAATAAATTAATCCAAATAAATAAATAAACAAACAAACCACTCCCACAAAAATAACCACCAGAATTGCCCACAATGCACTGCTGACATATATATATATATATATATATATATATATATATATATATATATAGTCAAGGAAAAATCCAACATTCGCGGCCTGACGATTGCATCTAGCATGAAACAGCCTGTCACCTTTGAGTGTTGACTTCAATGTTCACTTTTATATTTATATTTACATATGATCTATCTCTGATATTGTGAACTTTATCCCATAAATATAATACACCTTTCAACTATATTTTTTTATATATATATATATATATATATATATATATATATATGTATATTGTGTGTGTCAAAAATTTCAGTCTCATCTGAAATGAAATCAGGTTAAATGTTATCTACAGAAAACACACTACAGAAAACATCCCAATATTTCTTGCTTTATGCTTAATTGGTATTATTAAAATATCTATAACTTTTTTTTTTTAATTCAATTACAGTTATTGTAACATTAAAAAACATTAGTTATGTGTGTGTCAAAACTTTACAAAGCTACTATTAAATGTGGGAGTCACCATTTTGGCAGAAATATTGATACAATGTTGTATGTTACAGTTTTTGATCAATATAATAATAGTTCATTTTTTTAATTCTCATAGCAAAATCTTAATGTATAATATAAATTGTATATATTTAATATCTCCTAAGATGTTATTGAATAAATTACATGAAGAGGCTTTATTTTGTTTGAATTTGTAATATTATTTTATTTTAATTTTATTCAGTTTTGGTCAACATAATAATTTGTGATTTGGTTTTGACTATACAATATTTTTGGAAATATTTAAGTTTTGATATTGAAGAGAAAAGAAAAACACTAGTAAAACAAACTGAATTTCAGTAATCTAATTTAATGTAAGTGATAAAGATATCCACTCCCCTTCTAGTAAAATGTGTCATAAATTGTTGAATATAAAAGTTATATGTAAAAAGCTTATGAACAGTCCGTGATACACTTTCTTCTATAATTTGTTCATTTAGTTGGTATGTTCCTAATTGTGGACTAGCCAGTAAATCAACATATGTTATTTCCATTTATGAAATTATTTGCTGTTTTCACCACCACAATTAAGACTAATTATTTATTTTGTTCCCTTTACTGACTGTTTATAACATATTTTCTTTCCAATGCTGCAATTGGCACTCAACTGCCTGGTCATTTAAGTCACAATTCTCTCCCATACTTTTTAAATTTATTTTGTGTGAATATTGAACTGTTACCCTGTTTCCAAAAGAATTCTTTTTATGGTAGGACAAAATAGGTGTTAGATTTCAGGAAATAGAATTGATAATTTCAGATTTTGCTTGAATGATAAATCAAATCTCCTCCCATAATTGTTTTGCTTTATTGTTGTTGTTTTTTACATGAGAAATAAAGCAAAAGCTCCCCAAAAAATTCATGAACTATCAAATTTTGTATTTCAGTAGATCTGAAAAAATTTTTTAAAAATTAATTTTTTTTTTGGGGGGGGGGAATCAGTTCAGGCAATGTCATAATTAAGCACATTGTAAAACAACTCTGTCTTGAACCTGATAAACAAGCAAGTTTGTCTGGAAGGACAAATTCCATGCATTGTTTTATCAAAATGTACAAAATATTCAGTTGATTTTGTTTTTCTCTAAAGTACAATAGCATTTGTCAACATTCAGGCCTTACACTAATTACAACATTAAAATGAATAATTCTTACAACTTTCTTATTGTTTAAACTTGTATTTCACCTCATTGAATATCTAATTATACTAATTGTTTAAATTAATAATTAAATGTTCTTTTTGAAATCTGGGACTAGTAAACTGATTTCACATATGCAAATGAAACTTTAATAAGTCTTCTAATTTATACAATACAATGATAAATTACATCATTAATTTTTTTTTCTTTTGAAAGTCTATTCCTTTTCTGTTATATTTAGCTTAGTGGTTTGAATTGGGAATCAAAACTATTGTTTTATTTACTGTAAACTTATCTTAAAATATATTTAATATTCTACAAAAGAAAAGAGCTTATTGCAATGAAAATTTCTAAGATGAAGAAGCCATTTCATCAAATGCGTACAAGGAAATTTGTATGAGGAAACTACAATTAAAAGAACTGTAAACTTTTCAAGTTGTAATTTTTTTCTTGCTAGCATTCTTGATAAATGATTTCCAGTATTAAAGAGTACCTAACCTTTTCATTTGTAATATTTTTTGTAAGGTTTTGAATAGTAAACAATCAGTTTTTCTATTCCTTTGTAGACATGAAGATGTTTAAAGGATCATCATTGAATTCTTCTTACTTTCTTAAGAAACTGCTACCTAATCAAAATGGTTTATTCTTTCTTTGACCATGGTGACATATCATGCAACACCCAAGGAAATTTCTCTCTTCCCCGAGGAGATGTTTATGGAGGAATTCCAGTGAATTTACTTCTTAATTTTGTTGGTTGGCTGGTAAGTAGTCTGACATACAAACATCATATATATGTATATGTGAAGTGAATCTAACATTCAAAATTAATTTCCATATAAGAACTTCTTAAAAATTAAATTTTTATTAGGTAACCAAGAATATTTGTATGGTTCAAGAATTAAAAACATGAACAGAACAATATTTAATCAAAAACAGTAACAGTGTTTTTTTTGGTTTTTTTTCTTTTAATTAATGATATATCAAGACACTTGTGAGCAAATGTTTTACTTCAAATTTTGATGTGCACAGTTATTGGGCTACTAAAACTTGATATTGAATAAAATAATTTAAAGGCATATAAGAATAGTGAAAGATGACTTCCAGAAAGTATTAAGAAATTGAAACATTTGATTAGAAACAAACAAAAGAATGCTGAACTGTCATGTAATATCTAATCTCCCATATATCAGTGAATGCTGGAAAATTTTTTCACAGACTACACAACAGATGTAGTTCTAACAAAGGATGCTAAGAATATCATGGAGAAAATATGTGAACAACAAGGACATATTAGCAAAAATAGGAACTGCAAAGAAACATACAATTAAAAAGAGACAACTGAATCTTCTGGGATACATAATGAAGAAGGAAAACCTGCAAAATTTAACATTTGCAGGGCATATTAACGACAAGAGAAACTGGGAAAATGAGTTTCTTTAAATGGATGAGAGACAAAGTCAAAATGAGATAGTAATGGGTCAGAGGTTAATTAGAGCAACAAAAAACAGGAAGTTGTGGAGAGTCATGATCAGGGACATAGTACATAAAAAATATCTGTAAAATGAATGATTATAATATTTTTTACTTCACCCATTCCTAAAATCTGACCAAATGACCAAACATCAGAATTTTTCATTTTTTTAAATCCCCTTTTGGTGTATTTTTTCAACACTCGCTCATACAAAGTAAATCTAATTTTCAATTACATCAAGAAAAAGTATCAAAAATGCATTAAAATACTGTTTATTTCTTTGAAATGAAATCTCAAAATTTTTTAATCAGACTTATTAAATCTGAATGAGAATATAGAAGAAAAAGTGTCATTTTCAAACTTTTATTGATTATTAAAATATTAAATTGTTTTTTACTTCTCTTCATTAACTATGAAGTAAAAATGATGCTTGGTAATTTTATTACAAGGTCTGTTCTCAGATCTATTTGGCTTTGTATAAGGATTGAAAGAAAAATTTTTTGTTTTTTTATATAGCACTCACACGCATACATATATAAAATAAAATAATAGTTGGCCACTTGTATTTGAGGATACCTGTCTATTAGGGTGGCTATCCAATCCCTATTGCAGATGCTCACTCAGGCACATTTTGTGTTTGTTCAACACCCACAGAATCAACTTGTGATTTACACTGCAACTATGCTAAGCAGACCTTAGCTACAGTTTCTGGGAGAGAGCGTCATCAACAACACACACAGCTATCACAAGTTCAGCACACTCAAGCCCCCTCAGGCCACAAATAACATCAGTAAGTCTTATTCCTGACAAATTGACCATGGTGAGATTTGAACCCAGGCCTCATCATCATCAGAAAGTGAATGTTTTCAGCCACACACACACACACACACACACACACACACACACACACACACACACACACACAGAAGGATAGTGATTAGTTGGAGGTTCAAGAGTTTGAATTAATTTGAAAATTAATGGAAATGGCTTCAGGACAACAAGGCGGTAGTGAACTGTATTTGCAACTGGTTCAACAATTGATTGAACTACAGAGAGAGAACAACGAACTTGCTCTCACATTGGGAGGACGGACCAAACCGGTGTCTCACTAAAAACCAGACAGACCCATTATTTGAGCATGGTTAGGACAGAAGGAGACTGGGCACTGTTCGTTGACACTTGGGACCGATATAAGCACATGTGTGGCTTAACAAGTCTGGACCCGATTATCCGGAACGAACTGAGGTTGGCTTGTTCAATGGAAGTGAATAGACTTTTATTACTTTTATTCGTCGGACCCGGAACCCTCAACACAACCACGGAAGAGCAACTCCTGGGACACATATGGTTCGTTGCCGTGAAAGGCCTGCACAAGGAAGTGCATAGGCATAGATTTCACAACGTAAAACAAAATGAGGGGGAAAGTCTTACACATTTTTTGGCCAGACTACGGTCCCAGGCAAGGTTTTGTGAATTCACTGTCCAATGCCCAAACATAAGTTGCCAGTACGTTGTTAATTACTCAGAAGATATGGTGGCCGGTCAACTCGTCGCCGGGCTTGCAAACAAGGATTATCAAAGTAAGATATTAGCTGAAGCTAATACTCTTACAATGGTAGAACAGAAGTTTCATCGGTTGACGAGTCTGGAAACTACCGATACGTCGACACCTCACTTACGAAGCAGCCTGGATCTACATTCAACATTCAGCGCATTGAGATCTAAGCAGGAGCGGCCTCAGGGTGTAGGCACACCCAGAACCCCACGGGGGAGGCCATGCGATGGATGCGGGAAGACGGCACACCCCAATGGGTTGAAAGGATGGAAGAACTGTCCGGCGAAAACACTCCGATGCCAAAACTGTGGGGTGGTGGGCCACCTCAAAGAGGTGTGTCGAAAACCAAAAATGGAGCCCGCCAAGGAATCATGCAAGTAGTTCCAGAGAAAACCAGTCAAGAGTGCTGAGCGTAAAAAAATATATAATAAGAAACAGGGCTTACCAGGGATACCACACCTCAAATGGAGTAAGGGCGAATTCCAGAGGAGCCCTCCAGAACCACCACCGTCCCTGGAAATTGAAGTCTCATTAATACCAGAGTTGCACGCCAAATTTGGATGAATCCTGAATGATAGGGCTTATCACCGGACACACCGTATTCTCGCTGTCGCAGACACCGGTGCCCAGACGTGTTCAAGTGGTCCGGAAATTCTAAAAATATTGGGATGCACCAACGACATTCTCATACCAACCAGGCATAGGATACGTGGGATCACGGACGACCAACTAAGGATTAAAGGTATAGTCTTTATGCGAATCAAGGTTGGCCCTAAAGAAACCAGACAGGTTGTTTATGTGTCAGAGAACACATCAGGGTTTTACCTATCTGAGGCGGCGTTGAAAGACTTAGAACTGATTCACAATAATTTTCCAAGTCAAATATCGAAAGCCAACAGTTTGACTACGGATGGCGAGAAGGCAACGTGTGGGTGCCCCTGGAGAACAAATATTCCGGACAAACCCTCTAGGATCCCATTTACACCTAGTGAAAGCAACAGAGACTATTTGGAACGATGGTTACGGGAACACTTTAAATCTAGCGCATTCAATACCTGTCCCCATCAACCATTACAGGTGATGACTGGCAGGCCACTGGATATAACGTTCACCCGAGACGCAAAGCCCTTGGCTGTACACACCCCCATACCTGTCCCTCATCATTGGAAGAAGAGGGTAAAAGAAGACCTCGACCGAGACGTCGCATTGGGCATTATAGAACCAGTACCGGCAGGCACTCCTACCCTTTGGTGTTCGAGGATGGTGGTCGCACCAAAAAAGGATGGGTCACCCAGGAGAACAGTAGATCTACAGAAATTAAATGCGGCGACAATGAGAGAAACCCATCACACTCCATCCCCGTTCAACCAAGTATCCGTTGTACCTGCTCGAACGAAAAAGACAGTTCTAGACGCATGGAATGGGTACCATAGTTTACTGCTTTCTCCAGCGGCGCGAGATGCAACCACGTTTATAACGGAGTGGGGTCGTTACCGGTACCTCAGGGCACCTCAAGGGTTCCACGCATCCGGGGACGGATACACCCGCCGATTTGATGACATCACTGTGGATACACCCCGAATTACTCGCTGCGTCGACGATACGCTTCTATGGGACGGAACCATGGAATCGGCCTTCTGGCATACGCTGGACTATATCACCCACTGCGGCAGGAATGGAATCGTCTTCAACCCTGATAAATTTCAGTTTGCAGGCGACGAAGTCGAATTTGCTGGCTTTTTAATAACGGCCGACGGCATAAAACCGACTAAAAAAATGACCGAAGCTATACTTAAATTCCCGACTCCCACGAACATCACGGGTGTTAGGTCCTGGTTTGGACTGGTTAACCAAGTTTCGTACGCGTTCTCGCAAGCTGAGATTATGGCCCCCTTGCGAGAGTTATTACGTACGAAAGACCGCAAGTTCTATTGGGATGCCACCCTAGACAATATTTTCGAGGAATCAAAAAGAAACATCATTCGGAAGTTTGAGGAGGGGGTAAAAACATTTGAAATGAACAGGGTGACGTGCCTCTTGACTGATTACAGCAAAACTGGCATCGGCTATTTTCTTTTCCAAAAACACTGCAAATGCCCAACAGAATCAGGCCCCAACTGTGGTGAGAACCATTGGAGAATAATATTGGCTGGGTCCCGATTTACAAAGGATGCGGAGTCTCGCTACTCTCCAGTAGAAGGGAGGCTTTAGCTTTAATATACGGACTAGAATCCTGTAGAATGTTTGTATTGGGATGCCCAGACCTGCTGGTCACAGTGGATCACCAGCCACTGGTGAAAATATTTTTGGATCAAGTCCTTGAAAATATAAAGAACCCCGCCTGTTTGCTTTCAAGGAGCGGTCTTTGATGTACAAGTTCGAATTAAACACGTTTCAGGAAAGCTTAACGCTGCACCAGACTGCACCTCCAGATACCCGGCCTCACCAGTAAACAGCGAAGAAGCTACCATTGATGGCATTCAGCGGATCGATCGCACTATACAGGCATCAATCATAGCAGCCTACACACACGACCCTAAGCTGCAAGCTATAACCTGGGAGAGAATTGTGGCGGCCGCAGCTACTGACGAGGAATGCCAAACACTTACGAAGTATATACAGGATGGATTCCCAAAGTCACGCTACAAACTACCGTCAAAAATCCGCCAATTTTGGCCAATGGTAAACGAATTGTACTCCCTGGAGGGGGTACCCATAAAAGGGAGTAAAATTCT